ATTTTCACTCAGAATAAGAGAGAAAGAGAGAGAATTGATTAGTGATCCAAAACCTCTTTTATAACAAATTAACAATTGATTAAACTCTAATCTACATCATTGTTACCTCTAAATCGAAACCTCCTCAATAACATGTGATTCACATAACAATCATTAAGAATCTTAATGATTGTATCGAAGACTGGAACCTCGATAAGTCAAAACCTGAAATAAAGCATTTTCTTTGACTTTCAGCTAAAGCCTATAACCAAGCAATTAAGATATAATTCAAAGATTACACTTATCTGAAACACTAGTATTGCCACAGTAAGACCTTGACCAATGCTACCAATTCAAGGTTAATTTCTATTCTAAAAAAAATTTATAATTCAGTGGTTCAAGAGTTTAGTCAAAGAGAACCAATCAAGTTTCCAAAGAACCAACCTGGTTAAAGTGAAAAAAAATTTCAAAATCCACCATAATTCTATTAGATCGGTTGCGTGTGTGTGTTATGTGCCCCACCCCCACACACAACTGTCGTGACCAACCAATGTCCAGAGTCACATCCATAGAATTAATATTTCTATTCTAAAAAAAATCATAATTCAGCGGTCAGAGTTTGGTCAAAAAGAATTCCAAAAAACTAATCAAAGAACTTTTAGTATGCACCTATCCAGCCAAAAAGAGTTCTTAGTCAAAGAGAGTTTTAAATTTCAAAGAACCAACAAAAGTATTACCAATGTAGAAAATTCAATCAAAAAGTATATAAGTAAGGTTTCTTGCACTTGAAATAAAACAGAAGTAAGTTGAGTAAAATACTTCGAAGACATAAAACTCTAGTAGTTTTTACTCATCGTAAAGTTCATATGCAATGCTCGTTAACTCTCAGCTCTTATAAGATAAAATCGCCATTAAAACCTTCTATACTATTGATTTTCACTCAGAATAAGAAAGAAAGAGGGAGAATCGATTAGTAATCCAAAACCTCTTTTATAACAAATTAACAATTGATTAAACTCTGATCTACGTCATTGTTACCTCTAAATCGAAACCTCAATAACACATGATTCACATGACAATCGTTAAGAATCTTAACGATTGTATTAAAGACTGGAACTCTGTTAAGTCAAAACCTGAAATAAAGCATTTTCTTTGACTTCTGCTAAAGCCTACAACCAAGCAATCAAGATATAATTCAAATATTACACTTATTCGAAACGCTAGTATCGCCACAGCAAGACCTTGACCAATGCTACCAATTCAAGATTAATTTCTATTCTAAAAAAATTTATAATTCAGTGGTTCAAGAGTTTAGTTAAAAAGAACCAATTAAGTTCCCAAAAAACCAACTCAGTCAAAGAGAAAGAAAATTTCAAAATCCACCTATAATTCTATTAGATCAGTTGAATAAAAGCTTCAAAGAGCTAACTAAAAGCGTGTGTGTGTTATGTGCCCCACCCCGCACACAACTGTCATGACCAAACCAATGTCTAGAGTCACATTATAGAATTAATTTCTATTCTAAAAAAACATAATTTAGCGGTCAGAGTTTGGTCAAAGAGAATTTCAAAAATCCAATCAAAGATCTTTTAGTATGCACCTACCCAGTTACCCCTTAGTATGATCAGTAAAAAGAAAAAAAAAAGATTTAAACTATTAAAAACCATATAGTATAATTAAACATTGCTCCACGAAAAAAAAAATCATTTAAGGTAATATTGTCACTCAAATCTTATAGTGGCATAATTAAACATTGTCTCTATGAAAAAAAATTATTATCTAAGTATGTGATATTCGTCACGATACTCCTAATTAACTATTATAGGGGTTCAACCTCTTAATATGATCAGTAAAAAGGAAAAGAAGACTTTTATTATGTATTTAGCATAATTAAACATTGCCTCCACAAAAAAAAACCATATCCCTATTCTTATTTAATTAAGAGTCTAATCCTTTAGATTCGATCACGAATGATCAATAATTTTTTTAGAATAGAGTTAAATTTAATAATGCGGGGCTTTTTTCTTAATAATATGATCACTAACATAGAAGAACATAAAGTAAAGTTTTTAATTATAAATCTTCAAAGCTCTTTTATATTTAAATATGCTATTTGTTAATTTTTTTTACATCTTATCAAGCTCGAATGGAAAATTTAAAAAGATTTTTATTTAAAATTGTTTTTTAAGATACACCCGAAAGAATTCCTGAATCTATTGATATAAACGAAAATGATAAATGTTGTATATGATTAGATTTTATTAGTCCAACACTTCAATGATCTGTCACTATCTTATCATGTCGACATTTTTTCATAAAAAGTGTATTAGTAATTGGACTAATAGTTTGGGACTTTTGCCCTCTTTGTTGAAATGAGTCAGAAGGCTCTACTTCTATGGATTCAATTCAATCAATAAATACACAAAATTTTTTACCTTCTATGCCAATTATACCTATCCCTACATCTAGTTCTACAGCACCTAATCGATCTACCATGGCACGACATAATAGATCTACCACAACACAAGCGAGATCCACCACAACACCAACGAGATTCACCACAATATCTGCGAGATCTACCACGACACCTGCGAGATCTACTGCTAGATTGACTATTACACCTGGATTAACTATGGCTACAGCACCTATCTCATTATTATCAATAGCAGCCACATCACCAACTTTATCTGCATCACCAACTTCTTCTACGGCATTGGTATTTAGAATACTTGCTATATCTAGGGCATTAGAAAAAAATCAAAAATTTTTGAAGAACTTATGAACGAATTAATGACTTCTTGTGAAGATAATGGAATATGTTTATCAGTTAGTAGTAGCAATAAAGAGGCAAGTACCTCATAAGATACTATGTTAAACTTGATTATATTATATAATAAGGCTAGTCGTGCAAGTAAACGTGCTAGATATTGCGCTAGTACTATTACGCTGAAGAGTATGAAAGGCAAGTAACAATAATATTAAATAATAATAGAATGAAT